TAGAAGATTGACTGGGGCTTAGGTATCTACATCTACAAGAGCTCTGAGGCCCCAGGCTATCCAACGGGACATTTCACGAACGCTGCCTTCCTCCTTGCTGGAGCTGTCATTGTCCTCCTGCTACGCGCCATATACACCCGACGCAATCGATCTCTGTCTGTAGCCGATCGTAAATGGCAGCTCTGAGGTTCCAAACACTGCCCACTCGCACTATGTACATCACTGAGCTCACTGCTCTTCCAACCCGTCCTTCGACTCCGAATAGCGCGCATAGACGGAGCAGATTTATCGTTTGTCAGTTTGACATCACATTCTTCTGAGTCTGCGCGCCTGTGGTGGAACGGTCTCCAGTGCGAAATTTCGTCCCTTCTGGTTAGTTTGTCAATACCAACTTCAGCGATCCGACTCATGCTTCTCAAGTGGTCTTACGCTTCGGAGCTTCCAAAATCAACCATTTGCATCGGATCTCACACCGGTGCGGTCCTCTTGCCATTTTTACCTCTCTGCTATCATGCCGAGGCGCGTCGCGTCGGAGGCGTCAAGTTCCTACTTGACCTGAATGCGTGTAACGTCGCCGCCGTAATGGCATCCGCTATCACTAGCCGCGTGACGTTCAATCGCAAGTGCCATGCCCTCCGTCCTCGGCGAGCTGACTCTCACCGACCCCAATTTTCAGAAGTCGGATCCTCAGGCTCTGTTCAGTTGCGGCTATACGCGGCGTACCTGCGAGACATTAGTCATGCATTATGTACTGACGGGGAAAGGCTGGCTGGGCTCGTGGTTGCATGTGGGAAGCTGGAGGTGAAATCTAACGTTAACGGCGTGAGTTCCTGCCGCAAGAGATGAAATGCTCGCCGCTGGAGCCGCCTGAGCACTGATGGTTTTAACTGAGCCTTTGAGCTTTACGCCGGACTCGTGTTACACGCAGCATCGCCGTATTGAATGTGACCATTACACCGCACGATTCTATCGCAACTGGGATGCTGAGGGTCAGATGCAATGGGTAGTTCTGTTCTGTTTGGTCTGATCGCACATATCTTTGATGACGCGTTCATTCGACACGGCAGGCACAACGCGTCAAATTTGTTTCACTTTGACGCCGTCTGCTGATGCGGCAGAGGCGGTAAGCTACGTTGGACTGCTTAGCTCTGCTTAGACATCCTACAACTAAACGTGATGGACGCCAGAACACACGGCCTGCACCTCGGCGTCCACCATCCATGCTTTAGTGTGATGCTGTCGTATATGTCCCTTTCGCCGGCCATTGCTCTCAGCACAGGCTGCGACATTGCATCTCAATCGTTGTAAGGGCAGGTCTCACCGGAATATCGCATTTAGCCGAACCTGCATGTATGAGACAATTAGGCGCGCGTGTTCGCGCCATTATCTAGTGAAGCAAGACTGGTGCATCGGACGTCTCTACAAGCGCAGATAAAAATCTCGTCGCTTCTCTAGGACGCCCCTGAGACCTTCTCAAGTCTGCCGTCCATCGCTATTGTTATCGGCACGAAGTTGGGTGATCGTGAGCTCTCAGAGCCCGTCAACTCATCCGTGGCGTGCCAGTCCAGCGCCACGAAGGCTATTCTACCGCCCAAATGTAGGTGATGCTGACCGCCACATGTCCGAATTTAATATTAAATACGTCCTCACGTGATATTCCTGCTAAAAATTCTAGGTATGTTCCGTGGGGTAGAGCGGGCGTTTGTCCGCTTGTAGTGGCCTTTCATGCAGTCATGCGCCGATAAGTCTACCTGTATATTGCGCTCTGACTGCGCATTAGAATGCTCTCAACGGACGTGCGACCCGTGTCTCAACCGCCCATGCGGCGAGAGACGAATCGAAGCGGATGTCCCTTCAGCCGGAGGCAGTTGTATATGCGCCTGCTTTGCCCAACGTAATCAGGGCACGTTTCAAAATTTGGAATGATATTTCCAAATTGATGGGGTCTGCGCACAGTTTAATGAATGCGCGCAGACGAACGTTCGGCCAGGTGGGGCGAGCGTGGTACTGGTCACACAGAACAGAGATGCGAGAACATGGCAGCTACGACCGAAGCTCGGTGACCAGGCTTCTTGTCCATTGATGTCGCCGGCTGCGTCTGTTTCTGTGCCGGCGCTGGGGGACAAGACAGGGACTACCGGTGGCCAAACGTTCTCCGCAGGTGAGTCTGGGCGAGCGCGAGCCCCCGATCATCGTCTGCCGTACTGCCACCTGTGTTCCGATCCCGCCTCCTGATGTCATAGGGTGCTTATTCAGCAAGACCGTCACGTATGGATATCGATGCACCGACACCAAGGGCGGTACCTCTCCTTAAAACGGGAGGACGCTCGACCGACCTGCCCACCCAGCCCGAATCACAACCATGGTAGTTCCAACGGTTGACATAGTCGATGCACGCAGCCACACCGCTCTCAGCGGCCCCGACCACACCCCCCTCCGCGATGAGATCCTCAAGGGCCTCGCGCACCCCGCAGGCAGCAAGACTCTGCCTACGATGTTGCTCTACGACGAACGTGGTCTCCGGCTGTACGACAGGATCACGACTGAGGCACCCGAGTACTACCTCTTCCCCGCCGAAGAAGAAATCCTCAAGACTCACGGCGACGACATTGCTCGCTACATGCATGCCGCGAATGACGGCAGAGTCGTAGACGAGGTTGTTGTTGAGCTTGGTGCCGGGTGAGTCGCGTTCAGGGTCCAGCTCGGCTTTGACTGCACCTTCCATCAATGGCAATCGCTGTGGTTGGCTATGACGCGCACTGGTTCCCGCGCTTCACGGATGCAGGGAACATGTGTCCTTGTTTGTGACGTATTCTGTCCTGGAGTATCTCCTGGCTCTATCATCGGGATGCCGCCGACGATAGTATATAGGCTGATGCACCACACTACCCCCCAGGGCCCTCAGGAAGACATCACACATTCTGCGAGCTATATCGCACCTAGTCCCCGCGCAGATGGACAACCCACCCGCCACCTACTACGCCCTTGATCTTGAGAAGCGCGAGCTCGAGCGCACGCTTGCTGAGCTCGCCAATTCTGACGTTGGCGCCGAGCTACAAGGCAAGGTGGAGACGAAAGGTCTCTGTGCGACATACGAAGATGGCCTGGCATTCATTCAGTCTGGCGGCCTCCAGACCAAGCAAGGACACATGCCCGAGCATGTCCGTGATCGATACAAGGTTGAACGGATCAACGGTGCGAGGGACCCGTCTCCGAGTTCGTCGGCCAGCGAAGATACCGAGTTAACACCGCCGTCGACCCCTGGCAATGAACACGCACGGTTGCATCTGCTCTTCTTGGGCTCCTCGCTCGGAAACTTTGGCAGAGGTGAAGATGCAGCGTTCTTGCGTTCGCTGCCGCTTGAGCCCGGTTCAGGGAACACCATCCTTATCGGACTTGACCACGGCGATGATCCCGAGACTGTTGAGGTCGCGTACAATGACCCAAAGGGTATCACGAAGGATTTTATCATGAACGGCCTCAGAGCTGCCGGACGCACTCTGGGTGACGAGAACCTGTTCGATGACGATAGCTGGGAGTACGTTGGCAAGTATAACGAGCACCTCCGTGAGCCTTCAAGTATATTTGTGCTGTAGCGCCCAATAATGTCTCTGCAGAAAGACACGAAGCGTATTACAAGTCGAAGACGGAGCAGACGGTCGTCGAACCTTCTACAGGCGCAGATTTTACATTCCTACCTGACGAACTCGTCCGGATTGAGGTGTCGCACAAGGTACGTTTCCTGAAATCCAGCTGGACCTGCGTTGACACTTGCGTAGTACCCTGAAGAATCGGTTCACAAACTCTTCACTGATGCCAACTTGCGTCCCATACACCGCTGGACGGATAGCACCTCGAGGTACTCGCTCTGGCTGTTAGAACGCCCACAATTCATGTTCCCGCTCCTCACAACGCCGACCCCGACGTCTACACCGTTCGGGTTGCCCACCATCCAAGAATGGCATGACATGTGGGCTGCCTGGGACTTCATTAACCGGCGCATGATTCCTTCGTCGATGCTCTTTGAGAAGCCGATTGATCTTCGACACATCTGCCTATTCTACCAGGGCCACATTCCGGCTTTCCTCGACATCCACCTCTCGCGCCTGCTGCAGGAACCACACACAGAGCCCGAGAACTTCAAGGTCAGATACATAACTTTCAATCTTGTTGAGCTACTATTGAACTCTCCCCTTAGTACATCTTTGAGGTAAATGATACCGCGACCTTATGTTCTCGAGTATTAACAGATCTTTTGCTCACAGAGGGGCATTGATCCGAATGTCGACGACCCGACCCAGTGCCATGTATGTTGAAAACGATGCTTCGCTCGTCCGGGCCTAACTCTCTAGCGACAGCCGCACTCCGAAGTTCCTCAGCGTCCGGAGGACTGGCCACCTCATGGTTCCATTCTAGCCTTCCAGAGCAGGGTTCGCACTCGCCTCCTGAGACTCTACGAGGACATTGCTGCTGGCAAGATCACTCTCACTCGAAAGGTTGCACGAGTACTATTCATGACCCTTGAGCACGAGGCCTTCCATGCCGAGGTGAGTGGGAACCTATGCGTGCTCACTCAAACCGGCTGACAGCGAGCTACGTAGACTCTCTTATACATGCTGCTGCAGCGTGCGGGGACCGGCACCATCCCTCCAAGCGGCTTTGTCCCGCCCGCATGGGAAATCCTCGCGAAGTTGTGGGACACTGCCCCTCGGCCTCCCTCTGCCACTGTTTCCCTCGGTCCCGAGACAATCACGCTTGGACACGACGACGCCGAAGCTGACGACGCGTCAACTGATGTCGCTGGCCACGAGTTCGGCTGGGACAACGAGCACCCGCGGCGCCAGGTGCACGTCGGGCCATTCAAGATTGACTGGAGGCCTGTCACGAATGGCGAGTTCTACGAGTTCTACCACGGCGCAGGGAAGGGCAAGGTGCAGTACCCTGCAAGCTGGGTGGAGGTGGACGGCGAGACTCAGGTGCGTCTTGGTGCCGTTTCTTCCGCCCGCATGACGTTCATGAGACATCGCAGGTTCGCACATTGTACGGTCCCGTCGCGATGAAGATTGCGCGGGACTGGCCCATCGTCACTTCGTGCGATAACCTGTCGACATATGCCAAGGTTAAGGGCGGTCGCCTGCCTACAGAGCCTGAACTCTGTCTGTTCTTCGACAAGTTCAATTCTGGCTACGAGGGTGGCGCGAACGTCGGCTTCCGTAACTGGCACCCCGTTCCGTGAGTGTCTTCTCTATGCGCACAGGTAACAGCTGACGAAGGATACGCAGAGCCACATATGGGCTGGACACTAACGGTGGCAAAGGGCACAACGGCGGCGTGTTTGAATGGACTTCCACGATTTTCGACACACACGAAAGGTTCGTTCCGTCGAAGCTTTACCCTGGCTACTCGACGGACTTCTTCGATGGTCACCACCAAGTTGTGGTATGCACCCTCCATCCACTGCATTCTCATACTGTACTCATGGGACGATAGATTGGTGGCTCCTATGCGACTGCACCACGCCTCGCGGACAGGCGCACGTTGAGGAACTACTACCAGCACAACTACGCGTACGCTTGGGTTGCTGGGCGGGTTGCCTATGATGTATAGGCGCATTCTCCTCAATCTCGACTGTATCGCCAACACAAACGGATATTGTATCAACTCCCAGTGAACTCGCACGATAGACTGCCCAGGCGGACCCCTGATTCAGTGTAAATTTATTTATGGACAGGGGCCTTTATATGTATGTACTCGTAGCAATATCGAAAGGCCTGGGATCACGAACCTCTATTACGCACCTCGAGCACGACCCATGAAAGAACTCAGGCGTTCGCGTTTGAGTAGTGTCGGCTCTTGGACACGTCTGGCCGCGTTGAGAAGGGGATGCTCTGATTATCCGGTGTGTATGATGCATGACGGGTCGTGGAAGGCCCAAAGGAGTATTCGTGGAACATAATATATACGGTACGCTCGGCGACCTCGCCCTCGGTTTCTCCTTTCCGAACCGCCTCCTTTCACTCCATCACACAACATGCCGTCTCTCGAGATTAAGACGAACGTTAAGCTCGACGATCCGAAGAAATTCGTCGAGGAGTTCTCCACCGTGCGTCTTCGCGAATGGGTGCGGATGATACGGAAGACTGATCACAGCGATTTGGGACACAGTTCGCGGCGGAGCTCCTGAGTAAGCCGCTGAAGTACATCGCCGTGAGCTTTACGCACAATGAGTACATGGCGTGGAACGGGACGTTCGACCCGTGCTTCCTCCTGACCATCGTGCGTACCGCCAAGTGCTCTCCGATCCGTGCGATGCGCTGATCGCATGTGCAATGCGCGCGCCTCTGTACTAGGTGAGCTTGGACAACATCACAGCAGACACAAACGAGCAGTACAGCAAGGCGCTGTTCCAGTTTGCCGAGGAGAAGCTCAAGGTCCCTGATAACCGCGGATATAT